AAGCAGGCTGTAAGGCATCAAGTATGGGCCAGGCATGACAGAAAGAAGACTGTTCCGCTCATGCTTTTTATTTTCCTACTTTTGAAAATAAAACCTGAAAGTTTCTTTAATCTTACTGTAATGGGGGGGAAGGAAATAGTTGTTTCTGCTCCACTTATACTTTCCTTCACCACTATCCTTTCCATGCTCTCTTGGCTTTAACAGCAGCACCCTAAATAACAAATTATATTGTGATTTCATCCTAAACTTCACTTTATGGACTTAACAGGTCTCTTGGATCTTGCACTTGGAGCTGTTAAAACTGCTCTGGAAGCTACAAAGCACAATACTTGGTGGAGACTTTTTGTTTGGTTGTATGTTTTTTCTTTTAAACAATCCCTCAGACTGTTTTAATCAACAGCTTAATGACCAAAATTAATAGTTTGTACCAAAGAAATAAAGCTCATCAGTTTTGAAAGATGGATGCACTAAAGCAAGCATCTTCCAGAGTCCCACTACAACTCTGATTAGGAATATGGAATCATTGCCCTACACAGCCTAAGGAAATACAGTCACTTTGGCAACTCAGTCTTCTCATGGGGTAAATACTAAGGGGTCCTTTATTAAGACTTTCTAGGAAACAGGGTTATGCCAGAATAGTGTTCTGGGCCTCTTTTAGCACTGCTCCTTGTTAGGGTACAACATAAGTCTATGGAGCACAGGAAAAAGGAGATGGTACCATTGACAGGACAAACCCCAAAACCAGTTGTCAGGGAATGAAGGAGAGGCAAAGTTCCAACTGGAGCCTATGTTAGACTAATACAACTGAAACGAGTTAGTTAATAGCAGTCATTCTTAAATACTTGAAAGTCATCACACGAGAGTAGATGACTTCAAAGCAACTTTAGAATAATTTATTTAAACCGGCACCATTTCTGTATGAAGCCCCCACCACATGTTTCAGCTCAGAAAATTTACTTTGTGCAACTACATCCCACATGGCTTTTTTCACCATCACCACCTCTATAAAAAAGGTGATTAGCCTTCTTACAAATAAACCACCCTAACCACAATGCTGACTTGCTGAAAGATAAGAGTGAAAGAAAGCATTTTTAAATTCAAGTTATATGAATACATGGACTATGTTATGAATAAATTATGATGGAACAACAAAGCCCCCCAGACTTCAAAACATGAAGTGACAAGTATTGTCAGAAATCCATTCAGTCAGTTTATGTCCATAATTAATTTGGTGCATAAGAAAGTAAGACATTCAAAGTGTGTTTGGGAACTCACAATTTAAATGTGGAATTTGGCAACATTCACAATCAGGCATGCCCAGACGTCTATTAAATCCAGGCAGAGACCCACAGTAATTTTTTTCTCTAAAGAATATACAAGGGATTTTTAAGAGAATATTCAAAACACTAAAAGCATTGGTAAAAAGATACTGGGTTTTGTTACATGTGCATAATAATGTTTCCACAGTCAGCATATTCACATTACTCGTTTTCCTGCTAGTTCTACCATTTCTAAGTATGTCACATCTTGTCAAACATGACAACTTCTGTCAAACCTACTGATGGATCTCTTAGGCCTTAACTCTTCAATGATTCCTTTAAGTAACACCATAAATGAGAACATACACAGTACTTAATATGTGAGTGGTTTTCTTTTTTGGCAACTAAGGCATCACCTGAGGTACGAATCTCATGCAAATTTCAGAAAACATAAATAATGTGATAAATTCTAGTAATTTCCTTGAAATTCTGCAGAGTGAAAAAGTATTTTAAGTAAGTTGGGGAACTTCATAAACTATTTCTTTTCCCTACACTGTCTCATCTAGTATAACTGACATTCTCCAGTTCTCTTTTAAAGCAAACAAAAATAAGTAAATTGCTACAAATTACAGTTTTTCTCTGAGATGTTAAGAACACTGTGTTTCAGTAGCCAGCAGAAGAGGGCCTAGAACAGAAGAACAAAAACACTGTTTTAATAAGGCACTAGCTGAAAAGCAGCTGTTGTGTCAAACAATAATTAGATTTCTGGGCTACAGCACTAATCGATAAAAGAAAAATAGAAAATGCTGATGCTGGGACTTTAGCTGCCAATACACTTCTAAAAACTTTTATCAGTTCCACTACATATCACCTGCAATTAAACTGTCCTGAAGCCACTGTAAGTAACCTTCACAGGTTGAGCACCTGTGGTATACAAGATGTTCAGCTCACAACTGGAGACAAAACCATGGGACTCCAGGGAGGAGTTCGAGATCCATTTCTTTGTCTTTGATTTAATGTCAACTACAGAGGATCTTTTGTCTACCCCGAACAACAATAAATTTCACAGATACTTTAGCACAAAATGAATGCAAGACTCACAAATAATTGAGACTTATTAATTACTGTAGTTACACAAGCCTATCTTTTCACAGAGCAAGTATAGGTCCCTTCCAAATTGTAATCGTACCAGGAATTTATGATTGGAAAGACCATCACAATCATGAGCACCTATATAATAAATATGAAGTGATTCATTATGTTCCTTTCTTGTTCACAAGCTGAGTAGCACCCACCAGTGTCCTGCAACAAATTAATATTCTCTAAATCCATGCATCTGAAAAAAGAACAAAGCTTTTAATTGAACCTAGACACAATACTACTACTAAACTTACCACTTATCAGAAAGCTAACATTTCAGGCCAAATAGCATGCCTTATTCATGCCAATTCTTCTGTTGAAGTCAACAAGATTAACTGTGTGAGCTACCCTGATTTTGGCCTTCAAATAATCTAATCTACTACTCCATTGAAAACATAAAATTCCAAACTCAAGTGTAGTGATCAGTTTTAAAGCTATACTGTGTTTGCCAAGGCCACTGATCATGTTACATATTAAGAACTAAAAATGGTCCAAATTTAACAAGTTATTCTCTCATGAAGTCCAAAACTTTCTCAATCAGCCCACATTCTACGGTTATTAGTGGAAGACCTGACTAAAATCTTTCACAGAACAAAAACTGTATAAATTGAGCACTGAACTTCAGAATGGGAATGTAGTCCTTTATCTTTCTCCATCTAGCTCTAATGTGAGCCAATTTCTGTTGATGTATTAGAAATAGAAGTTTAACATTCAATTTGAAAGGCACTGAAGAGAAAAAACATGCTCACAAACTCCATCTGATCTATAGAATTACCTTAAGATACTGAAGTAATATTAATAAAGATACTAGTAACATTAGTTCACTTGGTGTCTGACTACCACAGCAGAAATAACATACTAGCTTGCAGTGTAAGTAGAAAATTCTTTGGCCCCTATTCATATCTGAGCAAACATTGTTTACACTCAACATTTCTCCTGCATCTTCTTTCAAAGCATTTCGCTTTAAGAGACTGTCCTTATCAATAAGTTATAAGTGTGCTTCCTCCATGAAGACAAGACCTTCCTCAGAGACTTTCCTAAGCGAAGGCATGTTTTCTCGTCTTTAGTTTAATTCAACATATATATTTCCAGTCACCCAGCAGAGGACCAAATCCTGCTTGCTTCCCCCATGCAAAAAGTTACCCAACTGTATACTTTCCAGTTTAGGAAGGAAGGGCTAAAGTCATAAGCCTAAATCTCAAGAACAGGACTATCAACTTGCACAGCTCTCTTCTCATGATGATGTACACTGTTAACCTATGCAAGAAAAAGGAAGAAATGTGTTTTCAGTAGAGACGTAACGCCAGTTTTACCTTTTCAGCACAAATGAGAGAGCTGAAAACCCAACTAATTTGTTTTGGGACCAAGTAACACTTAGAACTGCATGCATAAGGTTGTAAACTCTATTTTGGCTCATGTTAAAGCCCATTCTACCACGTCTTCAGCATTACTATAACTGAATTAATGTAAGTCAAAACCAGCCCAGGCTTGTACAATCACACATTTAATTTGCTGGACGGGCATGCCTTTAGAAGTCTAGTGAATTAGTTCAAACATTTCTTTAACATTTCCGCATAAATCAATGCAAGACAATCACACAGCAAAAGCAACAGAGTTCAGTACTGTTATACATACTACCCATGAATGACAAAACCTATATATTTGCAAAGCAATGCAAAAATAAATACATCTGGGAAAGGACGCTTCCAGTACGCCTAGCCAGTGTAAGGGGACAAAACAAAAAACACACAAAAACCCCCTCAAAACAATTATTGTGCACAACCGGCACAATTTTACTTTTGGTGATACAGGTTACCTTGCAGAATGTATGAGAACCAAGCAGCAAAACCTTTTGAGCTGAAGATATTCTCAGCACTCATTCCCACAGAAAATGTGAGAGCAAGACCTGACCCAGCCTAGAAATACCGTCCCAACGGGACACTGCCCTAGCTCTTCATCGTAAACCACATTCGAGCCCAACTGACGCCTCAGTCAAAACCGTTCACTTTTTAAGCCCACTTAAACACCTTACTGATTTTTTTTTTTTTTTTTTTTAATCGCCGTTGATTAAGCGCTTAAAATAAGGCTGGAAACCAGAAGGAAACTTTCCCACCAGCAGAAACGTACCTGGGTAGAAGAGCAGTCCCCCTCAGGGCGAACCCAGAAACGTTCCGCCCGCAGCCCCTTGCCGCGGCCTCACTCCCCGCACCGGCCCGGCCGCGAGTCCCAACGGCCACCAACGGCCCCGGCAGCGCGCGGCCCCCGCCCCGCTGCCACAGCACGCCTGGTGCTCGCAGGCGGGATCTCCCCTCCGCTCCCCCCGCACGCTGCTTCCCTCGGCCAGGCGAAAGCCACTAGTGCCGCTCGAGGGGAGGGATCCGTGGAGGGGGACGTGACTAAACGGGGGCCGCGGGGCTTGCCTGCGGAGGTGGAAGCTCCCCGCGCTGCCCCCCTCCGCCCGCCACCACCAACCTCACAGGCAGCTGCCCGCTGGGCTTTTCTGCCCTCAGCCCGGTCGATCCCTCCCGGGGAGGGTCGGCGGGAAAGCCCATCCCCAGGAAGCCGCGCACCTCTGCCGCCCAGCCCCGGAGAGTCGCTCACCTCGGCCCGGCAGCGCAGGGCGGCTCCCACCTTCGCAAGCCCGCCGCGTCCCCAGTGCCTCCGAGAGCCCGCCGCCTCTGGCCGCCTCTGCCCCCGCCGGCCGCGCAGCCGCTCACCTGGCCCCGGGGGACCACCCGTCCCGTCCCGTCCCGTCCCGCCCCGTCCCGTCCCGTCCCGCGCCACCGCCTCCCCGCCGCCTTGCCCGCTCGGCACTGGGCGCAGGAGGCGCGGCGGCCGGCCCCGGCAGCTGGGGCAGCCGCTGGACGCAGCCGGGGGGGGGGGCGGAGGCAGGCGAGGGAGGTGCTGCGACAAGCCGAGAGGGAACCCGGCGCTGCGGCCGGCCGGGCCGCCTGGGAGCGGCCCCCGCGCCCCCTCGGCAAGGCGGGCCAGGCGGCGGCGGCGGCTGCGGGCGCCTCCCCGCCCGGCGGCCCCGCGGGTGCGGGCGGTGTCCCGGGCCGCTGAGGGAAGCGGGGGCCCGGCGGGGCAGCGCCTGGGGCGGGCGGCTGGCTGGCGGCGGGTTGAAGGCTGCGAGCAGGACCGGCTAAGGTTGAGAGAGAACCTGGGGACGCGTTGTAGCTGGATGCGACAAACTCGGGGGAGAAGGAGTTGGTGCTGTGATTAAACTGTCTTAAGTTCCTTGGCGGACAACGTTTTCAGTGTTAAAACAGCCTTCTTTCTTGTATAGCTTACTTCGCCCTTAAAACAGGCTTAACTACATTAAGCCCTAGTGTAAATGTAGTTTTTCAGAATTAGCAGCCTTCAGCTATTTTCATTCCAGATTCATAGGTTCGGTCCAGATTACTGACAGTGTAAATGAACTTCACTTAGCCATCAGGACAGCAGTATGCTGCTGTGGCCCTCCTCTTCACTCTTTTTAATTGCTTGGGATGAATCATATTCTGAAAATGCGGAATTTTCAATTACTTATTTTTTTCTTAATTTTTACTGCTTAATGTACCAAAATGTTTAGGAACTGTGCTTGGGCTGGAGCTTTGGTCAGTAGGCACTGCTGAGAGGAGCCTGGCTCCTCCAGGGCATAGCTGGGGAAAGCAGCTCACTGCATGCCCTGCGGGAAAGGCTGGAGCTGTAATCAGCAACTCCTCTCAGTATTACTGGGTTCTACAAACTCCACAGGCAACAGGTCTTCCTGAGGACGTAGTGGGGTGATGAGTCCATGTGATGAGCAGGATTTCATAGAGAAATACTTCAAAAGAAAAGCTAGGGCTAGATGAAGAGGCTTGTTTCATTTTGATCTGCAATGTTTAATTTTGATCATTGATCAAAGATGGTTCTGTATGCTTTGGAGCCAGCATCTAGTGGTACATAAGTCCAGTGCTTTTGCAGTTCCTCACACGGGAAAAAACAGGAGGCAATTATCTTTCTCTGCCTGGCTTAGTGGAATATCTTTAATTTCCTTAAATTTTTAAGTATCACAAATGGTGTTCTCTTCCTAGCCTATACCGCCAGTGAGAACTATGTCTCCTCCTTCACATCCGATCTGGATGTCTGAGGTCAATAAGGAAGGAGAGAAAAATAGTTCTGAAGTTAATGCTAGGGGTGTGGATATGTGAGAATATTGTTTGTCTATGAAAAGGCTTGCCTAGAAGCTCTACATCAGTGCTCTTTTGACACATCCACAAACAGCGTGCTTTATCCATGTGGCTCAGTGATGTCTCAACAGAAAAGCTAAAATGTTGAATGACGTTGGAAATTGAAGCCCAACTTACCCTGGGCACGTTACGCATTGGCAGTGCAGGTTTCGTAAGCGTACTGCATTACTTGTTGTGTGAATAGTTAACCAGTGTACAAATAAATGCAAGTCTGCCTCTGTCTGCCCGACAGCTCTAATAAATTATACATTCTTTTGGATAAAAAACAGACAGTTCCTGAATTTTCAAGCACTGAAATGTAACTGCAGGCAGGGGAATTGCTTCATAGTACCTATTCCCTTTCCACTCAGACCAAGTTCATTTACTATGAGAAAATACTGTGTAATTTATGAAAGGAAAACAATTTATATCTGTAATTTTTTATTTAAACTGTGTATTGCATGCAACCAGGTAGTGTCCAGTAACATACAGATAAACTATCCAGAATTAATTGGTAATGACCTAAAACCCAGGACTCAGTAAAGAACTTAATTTCCAAAGTGCATTTTTATAGCTGTGCTTAGCTGGAAAAGCCCCTGAAATCTCTGTACACTCACTCAGATACCAGTACACCAGCTATACAGTTCTAGGACTACACTGGATCTGGTCGGTGTTGCATGGAAGCCAAAGGCAAACTCCTATGCACTTACCAAGAAAATGCAGACTGTAGCATATCTGAGGAACAAGCATGGATAACTGAACGATAGAGAACTTTTCAGTCCCATTAGTTTTGTCATGTTTTTGAGAAAATGCCAAAAAAAAAGTGTTGTCTTAATTCAGATTGCTCAATGTGTCCTTTATTTTATGCTTGTGCAATACTGAACACTGGTTTAGTAGGAACGGCAGGTAACACATGCAGGTTTAAAAGAATGATACTCACTTGGAGAGAAGGAGGCAAATCTTCTCTCCCCAGGCAAAATGGTCATATTAATAACATCCTGAATAGAGCTAATAGCTCCTGGAGCTGGAAGGCACTCCAGAAATTTGCTGATCAAAAGGCGACTAACGTGAAAATGGGAGTACAGATACCATAAATTGGTGTTGATATAATTTGGCCATGCATCGTCCTAGTAGAGAAATACTGGATTTCAAAGGGTTGACAATTCAAGCATTTTATTTTCACCTGTGTTCAACAAAATTGACTGTAGAAACACCAACACTGACTCCAGTGCCTAAATTCTCATTAACTTCACCTTAAGCAGAATTTCATATTATGCTTTCTAATTGGTTTGGGAGTTATTATTTTTTATTTAAAATCTTTCTCTCTTTATTTATGTGTGTGTGTATACATGTTTCCTAGGGAAATAAGACATTACTGTGATATACTGCAGCATTCGTTTCACGTCTATAATTTATGTATCCAAATGGGACTTGTTCTAATGATGTAATTCATGTCTCAGTAAGAAAAAACACAAATAATTGATGAGAGAAAGGGGAGAGGAGAGGTGGTGGGAGAGGTGAGGTCTGTTTGCCTTTTCATTTATGCCCCGAAGGCAGGATGGTGTTGTTTCACACAGGTGAAACACTGGACAGCACAGGCTTGTCCTGTGCTTGCTTCTCCCTGCTCTTCCCTATTCCTAGTGCACAGGACTGGAGGTTGCTTTGCCCTATGATATGTATATGGTCAGTCCCAGGGAGTTTAAGTAGATTATTCTTTTAAAAACAGAAAACCAGAGGAATTACTGTTTCAATGAATCACATTAACATATCACCGTTTATGTCAAACCCACTCAATTTAAAAACAAAGCAAAAAGACCTGATAATTCCCATGGCTCTGGATTTTGTGAGCTTTTGTCTTCTTCTTTGCCACATTACAGGTTTCCATGAACACCAGAAACAGACTGGAGGTACAAAGAAGCAGTTAAAATGGTACACTTCTCTGTTCAGTATATAAATATAGCTCTCCTCTCCCAATTGCTCATGTTCTGTTCTGTAATCTCATGTACTAGTTATGAGTCATGTAAATTACAGATTATTAGATAAAAAAATAGTTTAGATGTTTTTTTAAACTGATGGTAACACTGAAGATTAACTAAAATAATCTATAAGTCTATTTTCTGCTTCCAGCATTGCAAAGATGTAAACGACAAGCGGATAATTTTAGGATGAGAAAGTGATACAGACTAGCTGTGATTATGAAAGGAGTTAAACATATCAAGGGAGGAGGATCTTAAATCTAATCTTAAAACTGAAACATATTTCGCACAAAGTTGAGAGCTCAGTTTGTGAAAAAGAGGCTGCATCTCTTCAAAATCTATGTGTGACCAACAAATCCATATCTTACAAAAGAGTCTTTGGAATCGATATATCTATCTAACATCCTAACAGAATAACTACTTATTAATATTCTTTTGTCAGAAAGTAGCATATAGGCGTGGATACCATGAGCGCAGTGTTTGCTGAATGTTAACTGAACCAATATGTAAAAGAAATCTCTTAGATATGTAATCATTAAATAAGGAGGTTTAGTCTATCCAGCTGTGATTTTACACGTTGTCAAATACTAAGTACAACACCCAGGGTAATTTTTTCTTTTGGCTGTTGCAGTTTCTTCATAAAAAAAGAAATATGTAGTATCTTCTCTACTGAAGATCCAGGAAGGATATTAAAATAATAATAATAACTATATCTCTCTGGTTAACTTCTAAGCCTCAACTCACCACAGAAATATGCATGTCACTAGTTTTTGAAAGAAAACACATTTAGAAAGTTGCATCTTGTATCATTACTGATGACAAGTGATGTTTATGCTCACCATGTTATTTGACCCTACTGAATTCCATGTTGCAGGTTCTCCTGCTTATAGACACACAGCCATGTTATATCAGACTGTACTCCAGCTCAGTGTCTCTATTGCATTTACATTCCAAAATGGGGTATAGATGGGAGGCATTTTGTTAGGTACACAGGCCAAAAGAAAAAATAAATTTTCGATGCTGTTTTGTCTAGCAAAATTTCCTACTACTTATACAAAAAGAGTGAGTGGTTATATGTAGCAGCGGGATGAGCATCTTGCTCTGTTGGGTGACCAGCCCTTCAATACATCACCCTCTCCATATGTTTTCATGCAATGCTTCATTTTGTAGAGTTGAGAGCTTTCATTATTACCTGTTGGAGTTAAAAGTGAACAGAGCACAAACTGAAATGCAAGAAATTCCATTTAAACATAAGAAAAAACTTTTTTATGGTGAGAGTGATCAAACACTGGCACAGGTTGCCCAGAGAGGTTGTGGAGTCTCCATCCTTGGAGATACTCCAAAGCCATCTGGATACGGTCCTGGGCAACCTGCTGCAGCGGCCTCTGCTCTGAGCAGGAGGCTGGACTAGACAATCTCCAAGGGTGTCCTCTAGCCTCAGCCAGTCTGTGATGCTGTGAGAAGAACTGCTGCTAACCCTCTGCTTTCCCTCAGTATAAAAATATACTTTTGGCCAAACAAAGGACAGTGATCCT